AGACAAAGGATTAATCTCAAAAATATACAAGCAACTCCTCCAGCTCAACTCCAGAAAAATAAATGACCCAATCAAAAAAATGGGCCAAAGAACTAAACAGACATTTCTCCAAGGAAGACATACAGATGGCTAAAACACACATGAAAAGATGCTCAACTTCACTCATTATCAGAGAAATGCAAATCAAAACCACAATGAGGTACCATTACACGCCAGTCAGGATGGCTGCTATCCAAAAGTCTACAAGCAATAAATGCTGGAGAGGGTGTGGAGAAAAGGGAACCCTCTTACACTGCTGGTGGGAATGCAAACTAGTACAGCCACTATGGAGAACAGTGTGGAGATTTCTTAAAAAAACTGGAAATAGAACTGCCATATGACCCAGCAATCCCACTTCTGGGCATACACACCGAGGAAACCAGATCTGAAAGAGACACGTGCACCCCAATGTTCATCGCAGCACTGTTTATCATATCCAGGACATGGAAGCAACCTAGATGCCCATCAGCAGACGAATGGATAAGGAAACTGTGGTACATATACACCATGGAATATTACTCAGCCATTAAAAAGAATTCATTTGAATGAGTTCTAATGAGATGGATGAAACTGGAGCCCATTATACAGAGTGAAGTAAGCCTGAAAGATAAACACCAATACAGTATACTAACACATATATATGGAATTTAGAAAGATGGTAACGATAACCCTATATGCAAAACAGAAAAACAGACACAGATGCATAGAACAGACTTTGGGACTCTGTGGGAGAAGGCGAGGGTGGGATGTTTCAAGAGAACAGCATCAAAACATTTATCTTATCTAGGGTGAAACAGATCACCAGCCCAGGTTGGATGCATGAGACAAGTGCTCGGAGCTGGTGCACTGGGAAGAGCGAAAGGGATCGGGTCGAGAGGGAGATGGGAGGAGGGATCGGGATGGGGAATACATGTAAATCCATGGCTAATTCATGTCAATGTATGACAAAAACCACTACAATATTGTAAAGTAATTAGCCTCCAACTAATAAAAATAAATGAAAAAAATAATAATAATAAAAAAAAGAAAAAAATTTTAAAAAAAGAAAACCAGAAAAAAAAAAAAAAACTGAGTCATTCTATTCCCAGGTGTCTATACAAGAGAAATGAAAACAGATGCATACAAAGGCTTGTAACTGAATAGCAATATCATTTCAATAGCAAGAAAATTGACTACAGAATGGATAAATAAAATGTGGTATATGCATAGGATACTAGTCAGCTATTAGAACAGAGCCTGAAAACCCATACATGCAACAATGGGAATGAACCACTGAAACATTATGCTATGTGAAAAAGCCAGACACAAAGACCATACACTTCATGATCCCATTTACATGAAATTTCTAGAAAAGGAATTTCTATAGCGATATAAAGCATATCAGTGGTTGCCTAGAGTTGACAGTGGGAGTGAGAATTGACTGCAAACGGACACAAGGAGTATGGATTCTGGTGATAGTTACACAAGTCTATAAATTTCAAATTATCACTGAACTATAGAATTACAATAGATGCATTTTGTGTTGTATAAAGTGAAGTTCTTATAAAAAAAACTTGTAATATCTCATAAGTCCATGCAAATTTATAAGAATCAGAAAGATGAACTTTGTGTAGGTATGTGGAAGGAAACTGATTTAGGTTAAAAAAAACAAACAAACTGGATTTGAGGTATTACCCAGGATGCAGGAAAGAGAGGTAGACATCACTGTGATGTAGACATTATTGCAGGTTTTCTCCTAAACCTGTCAGCTCAAATTACAGAATAAAATAAAAAAGAAAAGAAAATGTTGTAATAATAAGTGATGCTAAGTAGGTTATAATGAAGTAACCCTCTTTTCTATATTACATGGAAACATCCTTTACATGTATATTAAATTTATGCTTTGTGATTGTCTTTTTGAGGCCAAAGGGGAAAGCTATGCTGCAGTGAGAGAGTTTAAGTCTTTCCTTTGAAAAACATGGAAACCTGCAGTGTTTATTCCTACAGTATGGGACCTGAGATGAAGTCAGAATTTGGGAGATGGGCCTTAGGTGGGAATAAAAACTCTCAGTTCTTTCTGGGCCTTGATTTTGCAGGCTTTGGGTTGTGATGGAGATATGCAGGAGTGCAGTGGAAACCACAGAAGGTCTCTGACACAATGCAATTACATTAAAAATAAAATGATTTCAAGGGTGAAACAGATCACCAGCCCAGGTTGGATGCATGAGACAAGAGCTCAGGGCTGGTGCACTGGGAAGACCCAGAGGGATCGGGTGGAGAGGGAGGTGGGAGGGCGGATCGGGATGGGGAATACATGTAAATCCATGGCTGATTCATGTCAATGTATCGCAAAAACCACTACAATATTGTAAAGTAATTAGCCTCCAACTAATAAAAATAAATGGGAAAAAAATTTTTTTAAATGATTTCATTTGAGATCATGAAACCCAAAACAATAACCTGAGCAGAGGTGAGTCAGTTGAATTCTCAGGACAGGTGTAAGTTTAGAATGAGTAAAAAGATTTATAAAACACTCAGATGAGTGTGCAGATGGGAGAAGAAAATGCTGAATTGAAATTACCTGGGTGAGGATAGGATTGTGTATCCTTTGGTTCATCACTTGTTCTCTATTAGCTCCCCAGTCTCCAGTAGCACACTTTTGGCCCACACTACATAATCAGTCAAGAGTTGGTGAATGAATGATCTCTCATGACTTTCAGAGTGTTTTTTTAACTGCCTTGGATGATTGACATTTTAGTCATTAACTTATTTAATAGTAACTTATTTAATATTCAACATCTATTGGCAAACTGACCTATAAAATGCCTCTTGCTATCACTTGTGGATGGGCCTAAAACATTGAGCATTAAGACAGTCCCACATCTTTATGAGGGACTCATCTCATAAAGATGTGAGAAACATCAGATGAGTTCCTCAAAACATATTCCTCCCTGAACCGCCCCCCCCCACTTCTACCTCATATCCCTTGCATCTCACTAGATATTTGACATTTATGTGTTTATTTCTATATAGGTATAGCTGTGTGTGTGTGTGTGCTCAGTCGTGTTTGACCCTTTGCAACTGGACTGTAGCCTGCCAGGTTCCTCTGTCCATGGGATTTTCCAGGCAGGAATACTGGAGTGGGTTGCCCCTTCCTCCTGTGGGTATCTTCCCAACCCAGAGATCGAACCTGTGTCTCTTGCATCTCCTGCATTGGCAGGTGGATTCTTTACCACTGTGCCACCTGGGAAGCCCCATAGGTATAGTCAGTTGTGTGGTGCCTGTAGTTATTTATTGTTTTTATATGCTTGGTCATGATTTTTTTCTAATGTTTTTCTTGTAACCTCACTGTACTATAAATATTCTAATGTGTCTGAAGCTATGTTACACAATGTAAAGCACTGGCCACATGTAAGGTATTAAAGCTGCAAAGCTAAAATCAACATTTTAGGGACTTCTCTGGTGGTCCAGTGGCTAAGACGCCTCGCTCACAATGCAGGGGGCCTGGTTCAATCACCAGTCAGGGAACTAGATCCCATATGCTGCAACTAAGAGTTTGCATGCTGCAACTAACACCCTGCACAGCAAATTAAGTAAATATTCTTTAAAAAAATAAAATTGGCATTTTGAGGACAATGGATCAACTTAGACTAGATTCTTTTTAAAATTCTATATCTACTTAAGATATGAGAAAACAGTATAAATGGAACAGGAATTGATCATATAAAGGTAACCTATGATAATGATACACTTTGTACTATAACTGGGATATTAAGTTTACTCAGTAGGTTAGTGTATTTTGCTCAGCTTTATGTTTTGTTATTTGAGAAACAGCATAAAGTAAACGGTAGCATTAAAAGCCAGCCTCAATGCAATTTATTTTTATAGCATAGTGCATAACAACCTGAGCTGAAAGTACATTCAGGCACTGAGACTTAAATCCCTAAAGGTAAGAAAGTAGTTCCATAAACAGATGTGATCATGGATTCTGGGTTTATTTGCTTGTGGCAAAAATAAAAGTACCAACTCAATAAGTTTTAATTTATAGGCATCTACACCAGATAGCCTTTGGGCACTTGGAACAAAACCGATTAAAATAAAATTTAGGAAAATAAAACCTAATCTGCCCCATTCTCCATTCATACCAGGGAATATAAATTCCTCAGTCAGCTAGGGGAGAGAGTCCTCCATGCCTCCTCTCTGCACTTTCCTGGAATGGTAGCTCTGCTCTGCAAGAGAAACTTAAGATTGCCTGCATTCCGGACACTTGAGAATGTGAACGAGGAGCCAGGGACGGTTTTCAGGTAACCATGGCTTCACCTAACCTGGGGTCATGCAAACAGGCAGAGCTTCTCTGTTCTTACCCATGGAAAATATTATCTGCCTTTTTTCTGTAGCAGCAACATCCTTTACATATTCAGTCAGACATGACTGCGTGACACACACACAACTTTCTCTACATATCCATACACAACTTCTATATATATACATAGCACATATATATGGTACATACATATATATATATATATGTATATGCATGTGTGCAGGCTGGACCCCTTCAGTCATGTGCAACTCTTTACAACCCGATGGACTATAGCCTGCCATGCTCCTCCGTCCATGGGATTCTCCAGGCAAGAAGACTGGAGTGGATTGCTGTGTCCTTCTCCGGGGGATCTTCCCCATCAAAGGATCGAACGGGCATCCGTTATGTCTCCTGCATTGGCAGGCGGGTTCTTTACCACTAGAGCCATATAGGAAACCCAGATATGTGTGTACATGTATGTGTGCGTGTGTGTGTGTGTGTGCACAGTGGGGTACTGGTGCCTAATATATACCTGAAAAGCAACAAATTCTATGATTCTACCACTGGACATATGATATACTGAAAAAGCTTTATTAATGCAAAATATAAATAATAGAACAAAAAAGCAGGTGTGTGGACCTGACCTTGAAAAGGTCTTTTCATTGCAGGGCCTACTTACCTCACATTTTCTTCTTCCAGGGTCTCACTTGTGAATTCCAATATGTCAGCAGCTGTCCCCACAAACATAAGGAGAAGTTGAGAGAGTTGATCCCGAGTGATCCCACTTCCAATGGGGAGAAGCCATCTTCCAATTATTAGCATTAGAAGGAATGTCTGATGGAGTCCCAAAGTCCAGACTTTCTCACATACTGTAGATAAGTTATTTACAAAAACTTTGGCCTGTTAAACAGAAATGTTATGCAGACAGAGGGATTATGAATTAGAACTTTAGAGAGGCATTTTTCACCATGGTTTTCAATGAAGAGTCAGCTTTTGTGGAAGAACATTTCTAGAAAATGATTCTTCATTTACTAAAGAAAGTAAAATTCTTTTAAGCTGAACAATCTTTTAAAAAAGAAAAATACTAATGTCTCTTTAAAATGGGACAGCCTTATAACTGAAAGTAATTTAAATGTTTTACTTACTAGTGAGGTTGTACTTATGATATTTTTAATGCTAATTTTGCAACTTTTCACAGACAATTTCTTGTATTATTTCATGAGTCTCTGTAATAAGTATAACATATAGCAACATTTTTTAAATTCCATATTAAAATTTTTTAATTCCTATATTTTTCTTTTATAGATTTCAAATTTGAATTTACTAATCTGGTAATATTTTCAGCATGGTACAGGTCTTCTCCTTTGATTTTTATTGCTTTAAAACACTATCAAAGGAGAAAATATATGATGTTTATTACCTAAAAGAAAGAATAATTATAAGGTTATTTTTATTCTGAACATTTAATATATTATTAAAAATCTATAAGCAAGCAACCAAATTTCTTCTGCCCTTATTCTTGGACTCTGGAGAAAATTTTCATCCCATTCATGTATTCCAAATACTATCTCTTGCCCACTTAACATCTAGTGTGCAATATCTTATTGGCCTTATAGGCTATGATCTTCTAAAGACTACTGGGGTGTAGATCTCCAATGGATGGACAGTGATTCCAACTGACTTATACAAGTGACTTAACTATATTTCTACAAATTTATTTACCCCTCATGATCATGTGCTGAGGTCAAATGTAAAGGTGATGGGAGAGAAAAATATGTCAGTATGTTAACCTGATTGAAGCCATGCAAGAAGATCAATACTCTTTCACTTGCCCATTTCATTATATGTCTTCTATGACTCTTCCCAGTGCTGTTGTTTAGTCACTAAGTCATGTCTGATGCTCTTGACTCCATAGGCTGTAGCCCTCCAACCTCCTTGGTCCATGGGATTTTCCAGGCAAGAATACTGGAGTGGGTTACCATTTTTTCCTCCAGGGCATCTTCCCCACCCAGAGATCAAACCCATGGCCCCTGGATTGGCCGGAGGACTCTTTACCACTGAGCCACCAGGGAAATACTCATGAGTCTTTCCAAACATCTTATTTGATTCTTACAGGATGCGTGTTGTAGTAGTTGCTGTTTAGTTGCTAAATCATGTCTGACTCTTTCACAGCCCCATGGAATGTAGACCACCAGGTTCATCTGTCCATGGAATTTCCTAAGCAAGAATATTGGAGTGGGTTGCCATTTCCTTCTCCAGGGGATGTTCCTGACCCAGGGATTGAAACCATGTCTCCTGCTTGGCACTCCTCTTTCCTACTGAGCCACCTAGGACATAGGAATGTATGCTAGTAGGGTAAATATTAATGTTTTCAATTACCAGATGATAAACTGAGAGACAATGAGATTGATTTGTTCAAAGTGACATGGATAAGCTGTGATTGAAGGTTGAATTAGAACACAAAGCTAGCTCTGTTAAGCTCAATAGAATCAATAGCTTATCTTACTATTGAAAACATGGTTCAGTGAAAGGAGCCTTGGTCGTGAGTCTCTCATAGGCCATAGTTAGTTTGCCAAATATCAAACACGGGAAGAACAAAGAAGAGCTTCTATTTTGGCTGAAAACCTTCCCTAAAGTTAATATAAGCACCTAAAAATATAAAGGGCAGAGGAGATCAAGAAGGCAGAGGAGTAAGTGGACAGTACATCTCTCTCCATGGATACATCAGGAATACACCTTCAGACACAGAAGTGCATGCAGAACGCCAGCTGAAAGTGGACAGGAGTACCTGACCAGAGGAAAAGAATATATAGAACCACTCAAAACTCCGTAGGATGAAGGAACTAGGGGGAGAAATAGGAATGTTAATAGGACTGGACCTGCCCTCAGCGGGTGGGGGAACTGAAGCAGGGGTCATCCAATCCCCACATTGGGGCAATCGTCTGAGTCAGAGGAGAAACACTTAAGACTGAGAGTGTAACAGCTGATCTGTGGCAGCCTAAATGGAAAGAGAATCAGAGAGTCCTTGCTGCAGCCATACATACCCCAGGAATGTATACATATCAGACAGGAATGCTGGTCCCCTCGAATGTGCAGCAGTTGGGAGCTGGAGTTTAGGGATTGTGGAGCAATCCCAGGGCAAGGGCTGCTGTTGACTGAGAAAGACAGAGTGAGGGGATGTGAGGCAGGAGATCATGGTGGGAAATGCCAATAGAGGAAAGCCAGGCAGCCACGTAAGCAAGGCGATGCTGCTGAGTCATGCATAGTGGGTGGAGCCATCACCATAGCCTCTTTCTCCCCACAAGCCAGCATCTGCAGCTGAACAATAGAGAGGCTGGCTCATTCTAAAGCCTAGTGCACTGAACTACAGAGTAGGACCCCAGGCAAGAGAGCCTTCTAAGTACCTCAATGGGTGGAGCTATAGAGAAAGACTGGCAAAAGAGGCCCTCTGATCGCCAGCTATAAGAAGCTTGAAAAAAGACTGTGATGGGGCCATAACTCCTGTGATGGAGGCAGTCCATGTTCCTGCACACTTGGTGCTGCCAGGGTCCCCACAAGACAAGCAGTGATGCCACCTTCATGCTCAACTCTCATTAGGGCAGAGCTTCCACAGGCAAAAAAAGTCTTGTGTCTATGCACACAGGTTCACTTTGGTAGTGTCTGACTCTTTGCAACCCTGTAGATTGTGGCCTGCCAGGCTTCTCTGTCGGGGAGGGGTGGGCGGGGGGGGAGAGGGGTTCTCCAGGCAAGAATACTGGAGCCTATTGGCCAATACTGGTTGCCGTACCTTTCTAGAGCACTATATTTCCTGCTGCCCTAGCTGCCAACTCCCCTGAGTCCCTGCTTCTGCCAGAACCCCTCTAACCCAAGCAGCTGCACCACCTCCACACCTAGCCCTCAAAGGGGCAAACACGAGTCCTCCAGGGCAGGCTCAGGAGCAAAGCTCAGAGGACGACCCATATGTAGAGGTGGAAATAAAACCACAATCAAAACCCAGGGGCAGGGTGGCTAAGGAAGAAAACCCAAAACCTTCCCACCAGCTGTACAAGTTGCAGATGAAATCCACACAATCAACTAGGCAGACTGTGTGCCTGTGGAATATATAAAAGGTCACTGAGAGCTCCCACAAAAGAAAACGCACTAGTTCTGATAGCTGTGAACATTGCAGGCAAGAACACACAGGAGTAGGACCAGGGCGGAATCTGAGCTGCCCCACAGTAGGTCCAGAGATCAGCAAGCACGGTCTTGGAAGGCATTCTAGGGAGGTAAGGTGGACCTAGGTAAGGTCTCCCAGGGAGGGAAAGGGCTCTGACAGCAGTGACTCAAGAAAAACATTATTCTTATTTTTTGACTTGTTCTGTAGATGCGTTTAGTTTTTTTCCTCCCCTTCCCCGCCCCCCATTGTAGTTGTCAATTTTATTGGCACTATGAAATCCAATTAAGCTTTTGAGCTTTTTTTTTTTCCTCAGTCACATTTTTTATTGTTGATATAAACCTCTGCCTAACACTGGGCTTTTGCAGATCTGTGGAGTTTTCCTTTTTCATTTTTGTTTTCCTTTTTTTAATTTTAATTTTTACTTTTTTAAACTTATTATTTTCTCTACATTTATTCTTTTGTTGGCTTTTCCTACTGTTCTTTTCCCCTTGCAGTTAATCTTTAACAAATATAAATCTTCCTTATCTACCTCTGTCTAACTTTGCATATCTATTCTTTCATTCTTTTCTTTCTCTCCTTTCCTCTCAACATATTTGTTAGTTTTATTTTCATTGCTTTATTCCGCAGTTGGCACCTTGCTTTAGCTTTGTTTTCCAGTTTGTGCTTTAGTTAGTTTTGTTCTGGTAGACACAATTTTTGGTTTCCTTAGTTTGCCAGGTCAATCTATTATATTTTATTTTTTGCTGGACTGTTTTGATTTTGCTTATGGGTATATATGCATATGTGTATATTGTATATGTGTCATATATTTTATTGTTGTTATAAACCTCTGCCTCTACGTGGGGCTTTTGCAGTTCTGAGGAGTTCCCTTTTTTTTCCCTCTATTTTCCCTTTTCCATTCTCTTTTCTTCCTTTTCTCTTTTTTATAATTGTAATTTTTAATTTTTTAAAAAGTACATTTTTTATATATATTCCTTTGCCTTTCCTATTGTTCTCTTCCCCTTGCAGTTAATCTTTAATTTATGTAAATCTTCTCCATCTACATCTATTTAAATTTGCATATCTATCATTTCATTTTTTTTTCATTCCTTTCCTCTCAACATATTTGTTAGTTTTGCTTTCATTGCTTTATTCCCCACTTGGCACCTTGCTTTAGTTTTGCTTTCCAGTTTGTGCTTTAGTTAGTTTTGTTCTTAACTGGTAAATATAATTTTTTATTTCCTTTGTTTGCTGGGTCAATCTACTGTACTTTATTTTTATTGGACTGCTTTGACTTTTCTCATGGTGTATTTGTATATTCCATTGTTTTAACTATTATTTGCCTGATTTTATAACTACCATTTGTCTGGGGTTCATCTCTGGTTTCTCATTTTTGGATATTTGTTTTAATCTTACTTAATGCCATTACAAACCACTTGTGGAATCTTCATTCCTGACCAGAGATCAAGCTCTGAGCCTTTGGAGTGGGAGCACTGACTCCAAGACCCTAGACTACCAGGGAGTATCAAATAGTGAGAACTCACACAAATGAAACCACTTAAATACAAGACCCAGAATCACCCAACCACCAGTAGCACCCTGTGCAGAATGCCTCATCTAAACAACAAAAAAAACAAAAATAAAAACCCAATAATCAGCAGGCAGGAGTACCACCTCACTCAGCCTTGCCCATCAGAGGAAAGTCAAACATAAACTCAACACAAATCTCACCCTATATGAAGCTTACACAAACCACTGGACCAAC